TTTTTAACTCAACGTTGTCATGGGAGTGTCTTCTTATGTCATTAGACAAAAAAAAATTTAAGCAACATTTTTGATGTCTGTATGTCTGTATCCAGACTAAATGGAGTGAATCCATTTGCCAGCCACCCCGAGTGAATTCTATGACACCCTCCAAAATGTAGTCCTTGAGCGTTCTGTTAGAAGCAAAATATGGGGCAGTGGTTCTCAAAATCTTATTTCCTATCTTAGTCATTTTGGGCTGACATAACGAAATATCTTAGACTGGATCATTTATAATTATAACAACGGAAATTTATCTCTCACAATTCTGGGGGCTGGGAAGTCCAAGATCAAGGTGCCAGAAGATTCGATGTCTGGCGAGGGCCCGTTCCTCATAGATGGCAGCTTCTTGCTGCATCCTCATGTGGTGGAAAAGCAAAAGGCTCTTTGAAGCCTCTTTTATAAGGGCCTCATCCCGTTCTTGAGGGCAGAGACCTCATAACCTAATTATTCCCCAAAGGCCCCACCTCTTAATACCATCGCATTGGGGATTAAGTTTAAACATGAAACTTAATGTTTGTATCAGGAATACAGACATTTAGACCATGGCATCCTCAAGTCAGTCATCTTTGGAGACTGAGCTAGAGCTGTAGAGACTAGAAAAGCAAAGCTCAGGTAGGATAGAGAAGGAAGCCAGGATTATTAGCTCCGTTTTCCAGATGGGAAAACTGAGGCTTTAGACCCAGGCATGGAGTAGTTTTGATGACTTGGCTGAGGTACTACATGGAGTGTTTTCAGGGTACCTGGGATTTGTTTTAATCAGATATGGTAAGACACAAAAATATGGAGATGACTGTCATGAAAGAAGAGGTTTTGATACTTACAGATCCCTGGAAATAGCAGGCATTCCCTGCAGGACCACAGAGAGAGGCACCTGGGTCAGTAAGGAGGCAGAGGGAGCAAGGGGGAAGTGTGGGCAAGAGCCATCACTGGAATTTCCATGGAAAGGAACTGGTGAGGCAGGGTTTGCAGGTTTAGGATTTGTTGATCTGAGTAACTTCAGTGGGTTCTGGGGTGTGGGATCCCTAGTTGCCTTGGACCTGGGCCTGGGGTGAGTAGGGCAGCAGCTATTTCAGTGTCCAAGAGTATGGGAGCCTGTTAAGGGCATGGGCTCTGGATTGGTTTGCAAATGAAAGGTGCACTCACAGGTTAGTCCTTTACTATCTCCAGGAATTGCTTAGCCCTAGAGGAGTCAGTCCCTCCAGGGTCAGGAAGGCCCCAGGTATCAGCATCAGAAGCACATAGTTTATGAGTGGAGCCTGCAGTAGAGATGAGGGGATTAAGGACATCCCCATGTCCAAGCAGCACTTAGTGTAGGCTTTATCCACAGGATGGCAGGGGAGAGGTTTACTAACCACAGCAGAAGGAGGATATCACCATTACACATAGTGATAAACTTCGAGTTGGTCAGCCCTGACTCAGCCCTGCCATCAACCAGCTTACAGTCAGAGATTGTCTCTGACTCCCTGGGACTCCCTGTGGCATCCTCTGGTGTCACATGCTCTCTAGTGGCAGGACAAAGGGGACAGAGGGGAATGAGCATTTTTGGGGTACTTCTTGCGTGCCAGTGGTTTCCACGAAATGCTCATCAGTGTCTTTTCTCAGCCCTGTCACACATGCACTGCACTGGATTTGCTGATTTCCTGATGAGAAAATAAAGCCACAGAAAAGTGCAAGGCCTAATGTGGCTGTCTTAGTCCATTCCGGCTGCTGTAGCAGAATACCGTAGACTGGGTGACTTAGCTTATAATCAACAGAAATGTATTGCTCACAGTTCTGGAGGCTGTGAAGTCCAAGATCAAGGGAGATTAAGTTTCAGGTAAGGACCCACTTCCTGGTTCATAAGCAACATCTCCTGGCTGTATTCTTACTTAGTAAAAGGGAAGAGGAGTCTCTCTCTCTTGGGCCTCTTTTATAAGGGCACTAATCCTATTCGTGAGGGCTCTGTCTGCAGTACCTTCCAAAGGCCCCACCTCCTAATACCATTACCTTGCATGTTAGGATTGCAGCATATGAATTGTGCAGGACACACAAACATTCAGACCATACAGAGGCTAATGAGGGGTGGAGGGATGTGAACCCAGTTCTGAAAGCCTCTCTACCTAAGAGTCACCAAACCCATGGCACAAGGTCGTTCTATAGCTTTTCCTCATAATTAATATCGTTAATATTTTGCCAGCCACCCCGAGTGAATAGCAACATGAAATCATGATACTGCCTAGTTGAGTATATGAGTGATGTTGATGATACAGGAGAAAGAGGATCTAAGGAAGAGGTAAGGCAGGAATGGCTTCGTGAAGGAAATGGAGGGGCAGCAGATTGAAGAGCAGATGCTACCCTAGTTCAAACAGATTGTTTTAAAGAGGAGAAAAAAGAGAAGCAGAGAGGGGAAGCATTTTACCCAAAGTCACACAGCTGGTTTGTAGCCACACCTGAGATGTGTCTGTAAGTCTCCAGTTCCCCAAGAACTCCAGGATAAGTCTCCACCTAATGATTTTCTGCATCATTCGAATCCGGACTTTTTCTTAGCAGCAACCTAGGACCATGGCTTTACCTGACTCAGTGGATTCCAAAGGGCTTAGCTGACCCTGGCTCAGGTGGCAAAGAATGATCTTTCTGATAGGACACCAGAGCTCACTGTTGTGTGACTGGAAAATCCAGTGAGTTAGAGCCAAGATCATGGGCTTGTTTAGAAGCCCTAGGCTGACCCCTTGTTCTTATTTGCAGATAACAGAATCAACATTAGCTGGTTAAAGCAGAAAAGGATTTATTAAGGGCACAGCTAGCTCAGATTCATGGGGAAAGCTGAAGAAATGGCTGAACTCCCAGGAATTCCTCCCCAAACTGCAGTGAAATAGGGCTGCCGTGAAAGCTGCAGCCTCTGATATAATCGTGAAGGTGTTACCACTACTGCAGTTTTTGAGAGCCATGCCACCTCTGCCACATTCTGCACCAGCAAAACCATGCCTTGAGCCTTGCCATTCTTCTCCTATATCAGGTCTGAATCCGTCTCAGGCAAATGCTTCTAACTGGCTGAACCTAAATTGTATCCAGAACCCTACCTGCAAAGGAGTCTGGGAAATGTCATTTTTAGCTTTCCTGCCTCTGTAGTACAGAAGACATAGAGATAACTAAGACACAGTCTCCGTGTTTGAGATGCTTGTGGTTTGGAAAGGAACACAATCACGTGAACACAATTGTACTATTATGTGGTGCAAAAGTAATTGCGGTTTTTGCCATTACTTAAAAAAATGGCAAAAACTGCAATTGCTTTTGCACCAACCTAATACAATGTTATTTGCTCTAATTAAGAGACAGTGAGCACGGAAAACCCAGGGTCAGGGTCAGAGGAGGCTTCCCAGCAGTGTGGTTACTAGAGCTGGTTACTGAAGAATCCATTTGAGTTTGCCAAATGAGAAAGACAGAAAAGGAGTTGTTAAGACACAAAGGTGTTTGATATTTCAGGGATCTTCAATACCTAGTTCTTATTAACTTGGTCTAAATTCTCTTATGACAGGAGAACAAGGAGCCAATTTATTTTGTAAATAGGGACCAATTTGTTGTGGAAAATATTTTAATATCTTAAAATATTATGTAAAATTATTTAAATACATAATTATAGTACTTAAAACTATTAAATCCTATTAAAATTAAGGACAAATATTTACAAACATAACTTTTAAAGTATTACAGTATTATTTTAATGACAAAATGATAATATAAATACAATAATAAAAATACCAATATTTTTAAAAGAAGCCGATATATTGGGTACAATGTTTCAGGATTTCTAAAGCAGCACATACATAAGTTTGTCCAGTGTGTAACAGTATGTGGGAAATGACCACTGCTGTGTGTAGTGGTTTCTGGGAAATGCTTGAGTGATGCCTGATTTCCAATCCTTGGCTCTGGGGATCCCCTCTCACCTCTGATTCTTGCAGACTGCCTGTCGCAAGGCCACTGATTCCACGTGTACAGTGGTTTGGCCCTGCAGGCTTCTGGATTCATGATAAGGCTGTCCTGGGATCCAACCTTCCTAGGTCCATCCACCCCAGCTTTTGAACAACCGCCAGGAGAGGAGTCGTGAGGGGAGGGCTCACCTGGCCTCTGCCACAGGAGGCCGGAGGGCCCTTTCCAGGGGACACCAGCCATGCTTATAGCCAAGTGGCAGAAAGGGTAGCCCTGAGTCAGCACACAGGTTCCCATCTCGGTTCTGCCACCTTCCAGCTCTACGGGTCTGGGCACCTTAGTTAATTCCTAGAGCCTGTTCAGGATGCTTGTGATGATCACTCTCCTCATAGGCCGATTAGAAAGATTAAAAGTAAATGCATTCATCCACATCAAATGGTTGGCCTGGCGCTTAGCCTATGGTAAGGGCTTAGTAAGTTTTGGCTGAAATTGGCATTGATATTCTGCATGAAGCTGGCAGAGGGACCCTGAGGTGGCTATGACATACCTGGAGACAGCTGGTGCTGGAAGGGGCGTGGTCTCTTCTGCAGGTAGACCTAGACCAAGCCCTGGTCCTGCCCTACATGGACAGTATGACCCAGAGCCCTGTCTGGTTAGCCTCAGTATTCTCAGCTGCCAAATGGGGAGAAAGGCACATCAGTCTCAGCTGTGTCACAGTGTGAACACAAGGATCAAGTGGGAAAGGGGCAGGGAAGGGAAGGGCAAGCTGGAGGCCTGAAGGCTCACTGCCAGACTCCCAGTGCTGTGCCTGAATGGCTCTAGTCTCTGCTTTCTCTGGGGAGTCAGGGGCTGAGAGTAACTGACCACCCAGTGATTAAGCCAGAGGGCCCCATGGTCTGCCTGAAGCCCCTAATGGGTCATCTGCAGGGGTGGGGCTGGTTTGCTTTATTTATTTCACTGGGACAGGCGCTCCACCCCTGCAACAAGAGCCCCTGCAAGCCCTGGACATCCTGACCTGCTTCTCTGTTTAACCGGTCTCTTTTGGTCCCCAGGTACTTTGAATTTTATGAGGGGCCTTTTGAATATAACTCCACAAGATGCTTGGAACTGAGGCACGAAATACTGGAAGTGAAGGTGCTGTCCATGTGAGTGTGGCTGTTTGTGGCCAGAGCTGGGTGGTGGGTGCAGGGTGCATGTGGGGGTGGGGACAGGGTTGGGGGTAGGGCGGGGAGGCAAGGAGGGAAGGAAACAGGAAACACGTGGTAGGTTCCTACAGAGCAAAAATTAGGTCTCCTTCCCCAGAGCCACTGGCATTTGGAAAACCCTGGAGGCCTGGAACACAGTGATGATTGTGCCTGTTTTATGACAAAAGGCCAAGTTTGCAAGGTCACCTCTGGTGACTTGGGTGTTAAAGTCCTCCTCAATTACCAGTCTCTTAGATTATCATCGCTGGCTCCTCTTGTGTAGAAATTGAGGAGGGCATCAGGCTGTCTTACCTGAAATTCAGTACGTTGCACTGCAGGGTTAAGGATTGTCCTCTTGCTATCGCCTTTGACGATTTTAATTTTATGAAAAGTTTTGATTTTTAAATTATTTAAATGACACGAAATTTGTGCAGTTCAGATGATTATTCAGTGAAGAGCCACCAAGTTCTTCCCAGAGGTGATGATGTGTCTTTGCATATCCTTGCGGAGAGAGTCAGTGCATGAACAAGCATTCGTGTATGGAGATTAAAAAAAATTTTTTTGGGCCGGGCGCGGTGGCTCATGCCTGTAATCCCAGCACTTTGGGAGGCCGAGACGGGTGGATCACAAGGTCAAGAGATTGAGACCATCCAGGTCAACATGGTGTAACCCTCTCTTTACTAAAAATATAAAAATTAGCTGGGCATGGTGGCGCATGCCTGTAATCCCAGCTACTCGGGAGGCTGAGGCAGGAGAATTGCCTGAGCCCAGGAGGCGGAGGTTGTGGTGAGCCGAGATTGCGCCATTGCACTCCAGCCTGGTAACAAGAGCGAAACTCTGTCTCAAAAAAAAAAAAAAAAATTTTTTTTACATAAATGGTAAAAGAGCTATGCTCCACTTAACAATACATCACCTATGGCTCTTTTCAACCAATAGGAGGGAAAACACATTAAATGCTGAACATTTTAGCATACATGTGCCCACCTGGGTTTTCCACTCTTCGCAGAACTGCCATGAATCCAGCAAACCCATTTAGAGGAATTTGTACTATATTAGTCACGTCAGAATCTATATTTATTTGGAAACAGTTACATCTAGATGTGGAAAAAATATAGTTTATTCAGAGGCAGGCAATGTTGGGTGTTCAGATGGACTCATGGGTCCCCTGACATAACCCCAGGGGCATCTGCCCCTGGCCCGCAGGCAGGGACCATCATTCCTTTACCCATCTGATGTGATTCCAGCTAGTGTGCATCAGAGGAACAGCATGGGCCTTGGGGTGGGCAGATCTGAGAGCCAAAGCTGACTCTGGGCCTTAGCAGATCTGAATCTTTCTGCAAATAACTTAACGTCTCTGAGCCTTTCCTTACTTATGAAAATGAGGACACTATTACTTATCCTTTAAGGGTTGCTGTAGACTAGCAGAAATAAGCCATGTGAAAGTAGACAGCCCAACAGCCTACATGCTCAGTAGCGCACATCATAGGTGTTCAATAAGTGTCAGCACCCATCCCTCTCTTTCCTTCCTTCCTTCCTTTCCTTTTTGGAACTAGCAGCAGCTTTTCTGGGCTGTCATGCACAGACTCCATAGCTTAGCGGTTCCTGGAAAGCTCTGAGGGTGAGACCAGCGTGCAGCTGAGATTAGCTGTGCTGTTTATGGCCCCTGTAATTTCCCATGGTCTCTGTACCCTCTCTAGAGACCGTGGGAGACAGACACCGCCCATCAGTTTCACTGAGCCCTGGGCTGAGAAGGTACCTCTGTGGTGCCCACCCTTGTGGAGCTCACAGCCACCGGTGGGTAGGGGGACAGACATGAATAACTAGCTACCCTAAGGAGCCGGGGTGGGGGTGACAGGGAACTTGACCCAGGCTGGGGCTGGGAGGAGGTTGCAGGCAATGCTTCCCTGAGACAGGGACACTGGAGCTCCATTCTGAAAGGTGACAGGAGTTAACTAGGCCAGGAGGACTCCAGGTGGAGGGAACAGTTTGTACAAAGGCCCTGTGCCAGGAGGGGGCCGGCTGTGTCCTGGGCGCTGAAGGATCGGGGCAGCTTGAATGCTGGCCTGAGGGGAAGAGACAGAAGCTGCATTGCTAGAGCATCAGGTAGGGCCAGACGGTGTGGGGCCTCATGATACAGACCCACGTTTGGGTTTTACCTTTATCCAAGGGCCAGGGGAGCCATGGGAAAGGTTTTAAGCAGGGCCTTGGGGTGTGTGAACTGGTTGGTATTTTAAACACGCTGCCAAGGAATTTTGATTTCGTGGCAGAGATGGCTGTGGGAGCCAAGTTCCGAAGCTGGTGGCTGAGAATCTGTCTTCTCAGAATTCAAAGCTTTCAGGCCCTTTGACGTTTTACTGTGCAAATCCAGAGCACTGTGTTGAGAGCACACCTTCGAGATTTCAGAGGGTAAATGACTAATTTCTTTAAATTATATAATGTATAGTTTCTTCATGGTTGCTTCAAGGTCTGGGCAGGAAGATTTAAGAAATCCTATGAATGGGTCATCCTTCTAGGGAACTTCCCATCCCTCTATAAATGTATTTTCTATCTGTTGGTGTTAGGCCCTGTATCAGTTTGCGGCAACGAGGTACACACAATTTAACTCTTCCATGGTTCTGGAGGCCAGGGGTCTGAGATGGAGACACTGCAGACTCAGCTTCTTCTGATCCTCTCTCTGGGGGTCTGAGATGGAGATACACTGCAGGGTTGGCTTCTTCTGAGCCTCTCTCCTTGGCTTGCCAAGGGCCTTCTTCTCGCTGTGTCCCCACAAGGTTGCCCCGGTCTGTGTCTTACCTGTGCCCTAATCTCTCTTTGTAAGGACATCAGTCATATTGGATCTGGACTTACTCTAATGGCCTCATTTTAACTTCATTACCTCTTTAAAGGCCCTAGCCCCATGGTGGCTCATGCCGGTAATCCCAGCACTGGGAGGCTGAGGTGGGTGGATCACCTGAGGTCAGGAGTTTGAGACCAGCCTGGACAACACTGTGAAACCCTGTCTCTACTAAAAATACAAAAATTAGCCGGACATGGTGGTGCCACCTGTAATCCCAGCTACTCAGGAGGCTGAGGCAGGAAAATCGCTTGAACCTGGGAGATGGAGGTTGCAGTGAGCTGAGATCGCGCCATGGCACTCCAGCCTGGGCGACAAAGTGAGACTCCATCTCAAAAAAAAAAAAAAAATAAGGCCCTATCTCCAAATATGGTTCTATTAACAAGCACTGTGTGGTGTGATGGACAACCTCATATGTCCCCATTGTCTGACTGTACTAGCCCATGGTCTCTGCACTCTCTTTAGAGAGGAACATGAGAAACAGTCACCTTCCGAGGAACATGAGAGAAAATGACCTTCTGTCAGCTGCACTTGCTGCCCTTGTCCCTGTCATGAACTCCCATGGGTGGCATTTGGGCCTCTCCAGATTTGGCTTTGGTTCCCAGCTCTGCCTCAGGGCACCCTCTCTGTCCCCAAGGGCTGGTCTCCTGTGGGGACCAGCCATCCTAGCCGGGACCCCTGGCTGAGCTGGGCTTTGCGTGCCCTGCCTCTTCCACAGCAGTTGCCTCTCTGTGGCCCCAAGCCCTGGGGTTCTGAGAGGGAAGGAGAGTCTGGGTGTTTCATGGGGTATGAGTGTGTGTGCCTCCTTTCCTGAGTTCCCAAGCAGAGGGTCAGCAGGTCCTCCAGGGCTGAAATTGGAAAGCCACAGAGGCTGGCCTCTGAACCTGCAGGCTTCACTGTGCTCCAGCCTAGCGCCATGAGGAGGCCTCACAGAGGGTCTAACCCTGAGTCCTTGGGAAAAGGTTAAAGCCCGTCCATGAATGGAGGGACTGATGGATGCGCTCTGTCCCTTCAGGCCCACAGAATGTCAGCTGGTGTTTTGTTTGAGGAGACAGGGAGGTGTATGATTCATCTGGGAACGATTCCGATCCACAATTGCTGAAATCAGTGGTAAAAACCAGTCAGCTAGAAAATCCCCACATGGAAAATGCCTCACTCCCTGACAGTGTCAGACACATAAAGAACGACTCCATGATGATTGGTTATGAAAATGCATTGTTAGTAATTCTTGTTAAAATTATTTATACCTATCCTCTAGAGCCCCTTTATTTTAAAATAAGAATCTTCAGTTGCTGCCTGTGCTCACACCCAGATGGGAGTTGTGCCTGAGAATTCCCCAGACCTGCCTCTCCCGCCATTTTTCTGCCATTGGGAGCTCTGTGCTGAGCCCAGTACTGAGACCAAGAAAGAAGCTGGGAGCCAAGGCCAGCTGGGCAAATGCCCACTTTCTGGACTGGGAGCCCCTTTTGTGCCACTGCAGTGTTCAGAACTCTGAGTCCTTTGCCAGGTGGGGGTTCCTGGAGGGCCAGGTTTAGGCATCTCTGAGTCTGGCCCTGAGCTAGCTCACTACTCACATGTTAAGTCAATGAGTGGATGGAGGGAGTGGGTGAGACCCGTATGCAAATAGGAGGCCATGGAAGTAAAGAGGGAGAAAGAAGAGTAAGGAAAGAATCGCTCTCATTTCATTACAATCAGTGCCGAGCTCCCTCGCACATTTCCCCAGCTGAGGGGTATTGCTATTTTTAGTCCTGTCTATAGATTACCTAAGTAATCTATTTCTTGTTCTGCCAAACATCAACAGTATCTCTTGATCCTACACTGTGTAAGATAAACCTATTAAAATTCTCCTACTCTGTAGTCCCCATCCAGCCTATGGCTTCAGTCATCCATGGGTTGACTTGTAAAGTGTCAAGGCTGATAATATTTGTAACAGTACCAAACCCTTTTTGAGGCTTTTTCTAGAGGTTGACTCTAAAATTTGAAGAACAGCAAATAGTGTTTTCCATTTACTGGGATGATGCAGATATTGTTCACGGAATGCCAGGGAGGCACCAGCATTCCATCAACTTTCTTATACATGTTATTTTCTTTTTATGGAGCCATCTTTCTGCCCTCATTTCCTCTATTA